TTTCGAATAATCGAAGAATCAGAAAAAAAATCCCTCAACCAATATCAATTATATTATTATGAACGTTCCAAAGTTCTATTCCTTCTCTTTTTTATCCACATTTAAACTTTTACTTTTTACTTTTATATATTCTTTGTTTCTTCTAACTTTTAGTATTTGTTACATGTGTATCTATATTTTGTTTTGAACCAAATTGGTACATATATTCGTCGCTTTTTATAAATTGGTTACATGTGATTTCCTTTGAACCGATTTAGTTCACATATTTGTCAAACAATACGTTTTTGGCATTTGCATTTGTCAAACACTACACAAAATACCCATATAAATTACTCAAAAATAAAAAAAATTAAATTTAAATTATATTATTTGATTTATTTTAATTTATAACAAAGTGTTTTATGAAATTCACCTCATATTTTTTAACATTGGCCATTAATTTTAATTTTAAAGCTCTCAATTGACACATCTCCTCTCTTTTATATTTCTCTATAGGTTGTGAGTTCAATATCCATTATGGGAAGTAAAAGTCCCAACAAAAGTCCTCAATAGAATTGGAAGCATCGCATCCTAAAATCTCAGCTAATATATCATTTGGGAGATAATATAATGAACATTTAGCTGCTATTGAAAACGATGGAAAGTCTATGAAAATGATATATAATATACTAATAAAGAAACACGGAAGGTAAAGTACTAAGGACCACTTGCTTTATCTTTCATATATATAGTGTCTAAATCTGGATAAGATACAATATGAAGAAAAAGAAAGGCGTGTTTCAATCGAAGTGTTCTTGTCCTGCCAATAGATAAAATTTCAGTTCACTGAGATTCGAAGACAAAATCTACTTTCAAGAAAAGGCGCATTCCAGGGGATGCATTTTCCCATTATTATTCAGAGAATATCTGGATTATAATAGTGATCCATCCCATCCAAAATGAAAAGCACGTTCCAGGGGAAGCGTTTTTCCATTATTAGCGAATCTCTTGAATATAATAGTGATCCATCCATCCGAAATGAAAGACGCATTTCGGGAGAAGCATTTTCCATTATTATTCAGAGAATCTCTGTCATGTCAGAGTGTTACATCCTATTTGAAATGAAAGGTACGTTTCGGGGAAAGTATTTTTCCATTATTATTTAGAGAATCTCTGCCATGTCAAAGTGTTCCATCATATCTAAAATGAAAGGCACGGTTTAGGGAAAGCGTTTTCCATTATTATTCAGAGAATCTTTGCCATATCAGAGTGTTACATCCCATCTGAAATGAAATGCACAATCCGGGGAAAGCGTTTTTATTATTATTTATATAATATATATCATGTCAAACTATTCCATCCCATCCGAAATGAAAGGCACGTTTCGAGGAAAGTGTTTTCCATTATTATTCAGAGAATTTTTGTCACTTCACATAATTGACATGAATTATTCCCCGACCCTAAACATCTTAAGCTCTTAAATTCTAAAATGCAGTAACTCTGAACTCTCAAACTCTCAAAACTTCAAACTTCGAAATGTTTAAAATACAAAAATGACTCCTATTTCAGTCGTTGTTTACTACGATGGAGAAATCGGGGAAGACCAATACGGGGTTGTTTTCCGATCAGATCATTATATTCTTATATCCTTCATGAGAAACATTACTCTTCATGATTTAATCACAAAAATCTCAAGGAATGCTCGTGTTAGAAACAGTAAAAGATTGGCTACACTTCAGTACAAATTTTTGATTGAAATTTTTCCGTTAACATATACATCGTTCAATCTCTCAAACGTTGACGATGTTAATATGATGGTTAATGCTTCTAGTTAAAATTCAAATTCTATTACAGAAATGTATGCCACTTTTGTTGATGTATATGCAGTTCGGGGTATGCCCTTCTCATCCCACTATAGATTACTTGAACCTGTTGATCAAGTTGACAGTCCAACTCAAACAATATGTAACTATTTCACGTTATTAATGGCTAACTCACCTTCTGATAGCATTATATCATGTTCAAGGGGAAGGCATTCAGCTGCCACTTTTTTAAATCTCAACATAGAGATACCTTCCAGTTCTAGGGGAGATATTCATTTGCCAGCACCTTTGAGGATATGGTCATTCCTTCCAGACAACACTCAATTCATAACCCATATGGTGACATCCCTTCAAGTTCCAGAGGAAGGCATTAATCTGTGAACTTCTTCGAACAAAACATCGGAGTCACAAAAGAACCATCATCTCCTCCAAAAGAACCTCTTTGTGAGCCAGGAGCAGATGGTGTTGAAACTAGATTATTCATTGAACTCGAGTCACCATAATTCAATATGGACTCTGATGATGATGCGGATTAAGTTCCTACAAATACGGTACAATACGAACCTCCAACACACATGTATGAAGCTGACTATGATGCGATGTACGGGCCAGAATTTCCTGATATGCCTCATCTTGGAGACTATGGAAGGCATTCATTAGTTAGTGATGGTGATTTATATTGTGGAATGACGTTCACATCTAAAGAAGAAGCAATGATGGCAATTAAGAACTACAATATTTGTAATTCAGTTCACTCTAGAGTTGACCGATCTACCACTAAAAAGTATGTCTGTTATTATGTCTAACGCAATAACGGTTGCAGTTGGATGGTTGGTGTTTCAAAAAGAAATAAGATCAACAGATAGGAACTAAAAAAATACAGCGACCCTCATACATGTTGTGCAAAGGAGATCAACCAGGACCATCGAAACTTGGACTCCAATGCCATTTGCCAAGCCATCATGCCCTTGGTCAAAGCAAGCTCCTACATACCTATTACAGTGTTGATTTTTGCAATACAATCTCAATATGGGTACATTGTCTCCTACAAAAAAGCATGGAAGACAAAACAAAATGTCATTATAAAACTATACGACAAATAAGATTCATCTTACAACTACCCAAATTCATCTTACAACGAACTACCGAGTTGGTTTAACTTGTTCAACGACTTAATCTTTGGACAATAGTTGAGTTCGAAACTTGTCATACCTACCACAATGATCGAGTTCTTCGAGATCGCTGCCAATTTCACAATGTTTTTTGGACTTACCCATAATGCATTAATGCAGTCAAATACTGTAAACCTGTTGTCCAAATTGATGGTACATTCTTATATCGGAAATAAGGAAGTTTTATTATTAGCAGTTGTCCAAGACATTAATTGCAACATTCTTCTTGTTGTCTTTTCCCTTGTTGAAGAAGAAGATACATAGTCTTGAGCTTTTTTTCTAAGAAATATACGACTACATGTCATCACCCGTGATCGTATTTGTATCATTTCATATCGAGAAGCTGAGATCAAAGTAGCAATGGACTCTTTGGGTCCAATATGGAAACCCCCAAACATCCAACATCGTCTCTGTATCTAACATATTACTGCAAACTATCATGGAAAATATAAGAAGAATGATGAGCGACAATTAATTATATGCATGGGTATGTTACATTTTTCTCAATTTCATTTCTCACTCATTTTCATTTTTTATACTAACTACTTCAGTTTGTTTAGGTTACGAACTCTCACATCAAACGTTTGAGGATATGCTTCAAGAATTGCAAGGAAAAAACGAATATGGATACAATTACATCAATTATATCAACAAAGAAAAGTGGATAAACGCATACGATGATGAATATCGATATGGACATATGACAACCAACTTGACTGAGACAATCAATTCAACCTTAAAGGGGCCCTGTCATTTACCAGTGAGTACTTTGGCTAAAACGACGTATTTCTGTTTGGGTCAACTTTTTACCAAGCTCAGGGGACAACTCTTACATGGATACAAAACGTTCATCTTTATCACCCATGATTAGTAGCAGATTTGCAGCAAAAGGTTGTAGCATCAAACAAAATTTTCCTAATAAGCTTTTCTCGCACCCAATAATTATTTCGAGTCACAGAAATGCCACGACCCTTGCAAGAGATTGAATCTAACTCTTTCAGAGTTAATTTGTGGGAAAGATGTTGTGATTGTGGGTTTTTCCAAGCTTTGAAGTATCCATGTTCTCATGTCATAGCAGCTTGCTCATTTTCTCGTCAAAACTATAAGCGTTATGTGGATTCCGTATACCAACTTTTTGAAGTATTCAAGGTATATGAATATGAGTTTCCCCCATAGGTAATGACAAAAACCCAAATGAGGTTCAGATTTGGCTTCTAATTATACCGAATCTGGAATTATTAAGGGAGTCAGGTCGTCCAAAATCCACTAGAATTCATTTTGATATGGATATTCGAGAGACGTCAAGACAAAACTTAAGATGTAGCCATTGTAGAAACATCGGCCACAATAGAAAAATTTATCTATCTCTTTTATCATCACGTAACCGTTAACCACTACTCATATAATCATATCAATATCATCTTATGTTTCAACTTATGTTATTCCATTTCCTTTTTAGTTTCGATTAATGTGATTTCACCTTTTTTATTTTTTATATCTATTTATTTTTTCGATTAAATGTTTATCGTTTATTTCTTACAATCTAACATACAACTAAAAACACAAACATCCTAACATACAACTAATTTTAAACTTCTTTAAAGACCCTAAACCATACAAATGTAACCTAAACCACTAAGAAAATAACCTAACCCACTAATCAAACCCCTAAAACAATCTTAAATTAAAACCCTAAATCTAAAATAATCAATTAAATAAGGCATGTGCTGCAGGATGCGTCATTCAAGGGAGGCGTGTTTCCTAGGATGTGCCTTAAGTGGGAGGTGCGTTTCATGCGACGCGCCTTCTCTCCCCGCACCAAAGGCGCATTCCGTGCAGAGCGTCTCCTTCTCTCTTTTGAAAAAAAGGTGTTAAATCGGTAAATAGTTATAAATAAGTGTTTGGTAAGGTGAATTTTTTAAGGAAGGTGATTTTCTTTGGTCAAAACACCAAACTTGCAACTAATCCCAACTATAGTACTTCTTCTACCTTCTGGTGTCGGCTATTTATTGCTTATGCAGTCTTTGCTTCTACCCCTGTACACTGCCTTCCCTTAATTTTATTTCTATCTGTCTCCTCCATAACCAAAGGCTAAAAATGGGTTGCAAGCCATCTGAAAATAAACCAAAAGTTAAGCACAGGAAGGGATTATGGTCACCCGAGGAAGATTTGAAGCTCAGAAACTATGTCCTCAAACACGGCCATGGTTGCTGGACCTCTGTTCCCGTCAATGCAGGTTAACTTCATTTCCCTTGTTTGATTCTTCTAACACCCTTTAATTGATCTCTAACAAATTTTGTCATAAATATCTTTTTCTTCTTCTGGGATTGTTCTTACAAGGTGATTCATGTGTCCTGTAATAAATATTTTTTCTTGGTACTTGTTTTGGTTTTGCCTGTCGGCGTAAAAGATATGGAAGAATTTTTTACTTTTGTTGTTGTTGTTATGGTGGTGATGCTGATGACGATGCTGGGAGTCAACAAAGAATAAGTTTTGTGGTAAAAATCTTGAGTTGGAAAGCGATTGATTCTTTTATTGTGTGATGGAAAAGAAAAAAAAGTGAGAGGCATTGTTGATGACTCCATGTTTGATAAAATAACAAAAATAACCCCTCAATCAATCTTTAGTCTTTACCCTTTTTTTACATGAACTTAGTAACTTCAATGTTACTCGAACTCGTGTATGTGTCCGATATGAATATATTCAATTTTTTTTTTAAAAAAAGAAAGATTTAGTAATGGAAAGTAAACATGGTGTAATTTTTATTTTTCCAGGATTGCAGAGGAATGGGAAGAGCTGTAGATTAAGGTGGATTAATTACTTGAGGCCGGGGTTAAAGCGGGGGGCTTTTACACCGCAAGAGGAGGAGACGATCCTCACCCTTCATCATTTGTTAGGCAACAAGTAAGCAACAGAGATTTCTCTCAACTTGGTGCAAATGATGCCTCTAATGAACATTAAGGTTGTCGATGAGTCCTAGACTTAATGAACTAACGAGGATGCTCTGTTTTGTATACTAGGTGGTCCCAAATTGCACAAAACTTGCCCGGAAGAACCGATAACGAGATCAAGAACCACTGGCACTCGTATCTGAAGAAGAGGTTTGCGAAAGCCGAAGAAGCCGAATCCCAGGCCACCAGGAGTCAATGCACAACTTCAAGCTCGGAAAACAAAGAATCTGCATCGTCTCCTCGAAATCCCTTGGACCAAACGCCAGGCTATGCACCAGACAATCACACGGAACAATCCTTGGTAAATACTCATCAAGCCATTCCACAACATTTCGACTTCTCCAGAGACCCTCGAAGAAACCAGGTTCCGCCGAACCTTTTATTCGCGGAGTGGCTATCGCCGGATCAAGAGGTTGGGAGCTTCGCAAATTCAAGTGAGCCTGTGGCTGCCCCCGACGGATTTAACCACTGTCCGAGTTCGGACTTCCAGGATCCATTCGTGAACTCGTATTTGTTAAGCGGAGGAGCATATGGCGATGATCTTCATCATGGATTAAGCAATACATTTAGCTCACAATTCAAGTTCGATACCCAAATTTCCGAAGACGAATTTGTTGGTTCTTTATCCAATATATGCACCGATTTCGATATGAACAAGGATTTAATATACATATGAAAAACCTGGGGAAAGAAAGTTACTTCCTTTCATTGTATAGAGATGTTATACCCCACAAATAGACTAGAAGAGTTTGAAAGTGAATAATTGTTGAAATTGTTATCGGTGTGCCCCTTGTAGTTTCAAAGGACAAATTTCAACTGTGTTTGATTCCTAATGATATAAAATATACAAAATATATAAGAAACTTCTTCTAAAAGGTAAACTTCTCTCTAAGTTGTTCTCCACTCCTCTCTCTCTCTCTCTAAAGAGCTGAGTTTGATTCCTAATTTCCTATTATTATCATTATCTAATAATTTTCCGTCTAAACAAAAAGAAGTGAACCGTAAATAGACCCACCAACCTCCCTATATCGAGTTGTACATCAACAAAGAGTAAAAAAAATCCATGGTTTCATTGACTTTCTAGATGCAATTCAATGCTTAAAAAACTGAAAGTGCAGCTCCACTCCCATTTGCCCGGCGTGTATGTAAGTGGAAGAAGCCTTGCCTTACCCCATCATCACGCTTATTGATACCCCCGTGAGGTCAAGGATGCTTTGTCCTTCCAACCAGCTCAAAAAGTAGTACAATAATTCATCCCAAAGTCCTTGATACACTCGGTGTTTCGTAGTTTTATTCAGCTTTAAATGAATTTGGGGTCGAACCTAGTTATATCTTGGGTAAAGTACACGTATGGTCCCCGACTATAGGATACTACATTATTGAGTTTCTTGCTTATTAAAAGTTACAAAATAGTCCATCGATTATAGTGAGTTGCTTTGTTGATTCCATTGACTATTAAAAGTTACAAAATGACCACTAGACTATTCATTATATTTCAAACTCCTCATTTTATTTTAAAAGGTTAATGGTCATCTAATTTGGACGTCAACATGTTGATTGAGTTATGATAGTTGTTTGAGATTATAATATCATATTTTATCATATGTCATTCAGCAGGCTAACATACAACTTAGACTACCGTCAATTTTTTAATGAAAAAATACGAGTTTAAAACATAATGAATAGTCGGGTGACCATTTTGTAAATTTTAATAGTCAAGAGACTCGACAAAGCAACTCGCTATTACAGTGTTGATTATTTACAACTTCTAATAGTCAAGGGACTTAATAAAACAATATCATATAGAAACAATTTCCTATAGTCAGATAACCATTTATGTACTTTACCCTTAATTTTTTTTTAAAAAATAAACTTTTTAAATTTTAAATAGATTCAAATCCAAAATATTATTTAATACGTATTGTATTATTTATTATTCAACCCAACAGACACAATGGTCCCGTAGTTAGGCTTTGGCCCATTTATCTGTCTATGGAAGAGAACACCTACAGTTCCCGGGTAATTTTGGCCCAATATAGTAGGCGGGCTAATTATTTAGTCTAAATTATACTAGATTTTTTATTTTAGAAACTACGACATTTGTTACAGTGACTTGAAAGTGACGAATTCTAATCAAATATATTTTTTATTGGAACTTGTCACTTCGACGAGACAAAATTTAATAAAAAATTATATTTTATTGAAACTCGTCACTTCGACATGATGAGTTTGAATATAAAAATATTATTTAGGTAAACTCGTCAAGTGGACGTGACGAATTTTCCTTACACTATAACATTTACCGTAAATCTCAAATTAATTTTCGAGATGGCCTAATGGGCTAAATTCTTCACTCACCTGGTTTATTGGGCCAATTTTGCAAGCCGCAGCAACCCAACTAGTAAACCACGGTTTCGAATTTCCAGGCCCAAGTTGTCCATATCACTCGGGCAAACTTAAATGTCTGAATACAGATGAAAATCACTTGAATAGACTCAGCTCTTGCACGTGTATGCATCACAGAGAGAAAAACAAATAAAAGAAAGAAACAAAAGCATCACAATATCATACCAACAACCCGATGGCCAGTGGGATGATACACTAGATCCTTTAAGTAATGTTAGTAGTTCGAATCTTGGTGATTGTGAATGAAGCAAATTGGGTTGGAGGAGTCGCCCTTACATCTGCAATCCTCGATCCGAATTAGTCGATCAATAAATCGGATACCGGTGATTATAAAAAAAAACATCACAATATCACAAGAAAGTTGCATAACCCACAACAAACATACATACTATCCTCATCCATTTAAGGCGATGAACAGCGTGACACCTACTAAAAACTACCATTCAATACTACAGACATCGCCTTGCCTTGTGAGAATTGAATTGAACTTACCAGAATTTAAACATCACAATTTTTAATTTAATAAAGGTCTAATAACACTTTTGACCTTAAACTTCTTTTTAAAAATCATTTCAGTCCTTAAACGTTTGTTTGTCTGAATCTTTGAACTTCTATTCCTTTTGTGAAATTGACCAATTAATGGAAAAACTGACAAAATCGTTGAACAATAAAACATCTAAAATTATACCAAAAAAATAATATATATATATATATATAACCCCTTATTTTTGTTAATTAGTTCAATTTGATTAAAAAAGAAGAAGAAGAAGTTTGATGGCCAAAAGAGGTGAAAAAGTTTAAGGACTAAAATAAGTTTTTAAAAATTTTGAGAGCCAAAACGTAATTAAACCTTTAACAAAAGTGTTGTTGCATGACCCTCCTAGGGCTGTAAATGAGACGAGACAGATCGTGAGCTACTCGAGATCGACTCGATCAATGCTCGATAAATACTCGGATCGAATGGACTCAACTCGAGCTCGAGCTCGCTCGAATTCTTAACGATCCGAAATGAGCTACTTGATACTCGACTCGGAAAGCTCGTGAGCAGCTCGAAAATATAATATATAAGATTATATTTTTTTTAAAAAAAATTATTAAAAAAATTATATTTATGTATTGATTTTTTAAATAGAATACATTAAGATTTTTATGCATTTAAGGTTCGAGTTCGAGGCTTCAATCGAGTTAAGTTTAAGAATTTTTTTCTTCATTTCGAGCCTTTTCGAGCTGCTCACGAGCTTCAGTTCAGGATTTCGAGTTCGAGTCGAGCTTTAAAATTTTAAGCTCGCGAGTTTTCGAGTCGAGTCGAGCTCAATTTTAGAGTTTTCGAGTCGAGTCGAGCTCAGCAATACTCGAGCTCGACTCGGTTCGTTTACACCCGTAGACCCTCCCCACGAAGGTGGCTGGCTGTACGATAGTGGTCCAACACATACTTATTACAAGGACGGCGAAATTACACCCGCCCTCACTCGGTCCCCTCTACACGCCATCATTCATTGGTTCCGGCATGAAGATAAGTTTTAAAGCTGATCTTTACACAGCAAACAGCTTTACAATGGTTGCATATTAAACAGAGGAGAAATCCAATCGGCTTTTATCCATCGGTGTAAACTCCAAATTCTTATATTCGGGGTTTAAGAATTGACTATTAGGCTGGGTTTTATCTACCAAACATACTAAAACTTTATCTAAATTTTCATTTGGTCCCAAATTCTAAAATCCTCAAAATATCGATGTCGTACATGAGGATGGACATTTAGCTCGAACTAGACAGGTTCCAATGTGACTTTATAAGATCTTTTAAATTCAAGTTTGGATTAAATTCGAGTCGATGTTTTTTGAAGATAACATTGGATCGAGTTTTATGGTGAAAAATATTAATCTAAGAATAATATTATAATTATTTTTTAATAGAACAATACAATTCACCTCTATATATTTAGGGAAAGTTGCTATAATATTTTTTCATCTATATATTATTCACCTTAAAATCATATCAAATTTCAAGTCAGGTAGAGCTTCACTAAAATCGGATCAAGTCAAACGACAAATAAAGAGAATTATACTTAGGTCGAGTTCAAGTGACCAAAAATCCAACTTGACTCGACCCATGGTTATCTATAATCACACTAATCAAGATTTAATGTATTAGTATAACCATCAATTTAAATATTAAGTATTTTACTCAAATATAATGTGAATTATATTTAAAATAACACAATCAAATGTTATATATATATATATATATATATATATATATTATATATATATATATATATATATATATATATATATATATATATATATATATGTATAATGTATCCATTAAATTCTAATGATATATGTGCATCTATTGTATTAATAGGTCAGAAATATCCTATTAAACTTTAACGACGAAATCATCAAATGATTTTAATGATTAAAAAGAATGTTATTATCTCTAGAAATCTTATGTTCAAATAGTTATGTCTATAAAATGTATGTTATTAATTAATTAAAAAATTCTGAATATATTCTACCTTATTATAATTTCAAATTATTAAAAATAATTCTAATGATATTATGTTTTCTAATACATTAGATCCAAACTAATTATATAACAAATATACATACTTAAATTTTAATAATATACCTTAAAAACGCTCCATGTTATATCCGAACTGATATTTATTATTTCAATTAGTGTCTAAATTAAAACATTTTAAAATCTAAAACTAATCTAAATTTCTAACTCGATCAACAAATTAACCTATGTTAAACCTCACAAAAGTCTAGGGGTGGGTTCAAGAGAGAGATGATAGCACATGCACCAACGTGTTTCCACACATATTACAGGGCAAATTGGCGGGGATTTGACCTACACTAAAGCATCCAATAATAAATGTTAGGGTAAATTACACTAATCATCACTAAATTGTTTTTTATTTTACTCATTCTACTTTAAATTCATTCAATTTTCTCACTGAATTTAACATAATTTTTATTTTTGGTTCTTCGGTCATTTTCTCACTAAATGATGTTATAAATGAGCTGTTATATAGACGCAAAACATCATTTTGGTGAAAAGTGTTTGTTTTTTTAAAACGGAATCATTTTAACGCCGTTAAATGTTTAACGGCTAAGTGATCAAAATGTTGATTGTATTAAATTTAGTGAAGAAATTAAACGGAATTAAAGTACAGTAAGTGAAATAGGAGAGAGAGTAAAGTTTAGTGATGATTGGTATAATTTACCCTAAATGTTAAGGTCTTTCTGGCATTGCTGGAAGTAATGAAGCTCCCGTTAAACATGGATCAGATTCGTGGAAGTTAAGGGGTCTCTCGGGCCATCGCTGTCTCTCATCAAATAATTCAAACTATCATTATCATCATTATATATTTATGTCCATTCCAAAACCAACTAAACATTGAAATCCCCAGTCCTAATAAATTGTCAAATCAAGGGTTAAAATGTCTTAATTAGTAATAATATTTTTATGATTATATATGCTATAGCTGCCCACTAACACACCTTTGATAACTCCGAAAATTATGCGGAATCTAATATCAGAATTTTATAATATTTAAAGTGCTTCCAATTCACAGAATATATAATTGTTTTTTGTAATATAATATTAATTGACATATTATTTAAAATATTATATTATCTTATTTAACTCATTTGACAATGATATAAAATTACAACATTTGATCAAATGAATATAAAGTTATAATGTTTAGTTAGATACATTTTTATTTGACAAAAATAAATACTACTCCTTTTATCAAATAATTTTAAAAAGTTATGTATATAGATGCCTAATAAAACCTAACCATATACACAAACTAAAAATGATTTGAAACATAATATTTTATTAATTTTTTTAAATATTTTTTTTTAAATTTTATAAGAAACATTTCATTAATTGTACTCTTTAAATATTATTTTAATACCGTTAAGTTTGAATTCCACCATCGTTATTTTTTGTGGGTAAATTTTTATGTATATCCTAATTAGATCTTAGATACTCCGAACTGAAGAAGCCACCCTTTACCTGAATTATTATTTTTATAAAAAAATAATAATAATTCTTTCAACTCAATTTGATTTTCTCAAGATTTAATAAAGTGCATTGTTCAAATACAAAAAAGAATAGGAAGATGCTTTAATGATATGATAAGTAACAACTAAGTGCTAACCCCTTACCTATATCGCTTCACTTTTCATATACTTTATTTTCGTTGTTTTCCCGTCATTGTTACAAAAGAATAATACACTTATCTATTAAATTTTGTAAAATAAAATTTATTAATTAATCAAAACTTGTGCATCATCTACCAAAGTTTCGCACCTCGTTCTTTGCTGCAAACAAAAGAAAACTACTTTCCAAGCCCGAAGCTTTTATTACTTAGAAGGCTTAAATATAAAAAGGAAAAAATGTCCAACGTATACCTTTGATTCTAGTTTGGTATGTATCGTTTTTTTCTTTCTAGTTTGGTGTCTAACATTTCATTCCGTAACTCAGTTTGGGTCAGATCATGACGGACCGTTAAGTTTTATCGTTAAGCAACACGAGTCACAACTTGGTAAGTTTAAAAATTTTATTTAAAATCAAAAAATTAAAATTATGCATATATATATATATATAAACAAAATTTTGAAATAAACTCAAAACTTTAAAAACCTTCATTTCAACCCCTAAACCTACGCCAGTCACCATAGTATATTTGAAGCAGCTACTTGACCCTATCATGATGCCTTTCGAGTTGCTAAAGAGACTGAGAGGTGAACGCGCTGTATGAGATTTCATTATATTTTATCATCTGTTGAAAAATCTTTAACCATAAGGATTAAACGAAGAAATTATTATATGCCATTTATACAAATTAATTACAGCTTTGTTGGTGACTTTCAACAATGATATTTAGTTTATATTAGTAGTATTTGTCAACTCTGCATTTCTAACTCTATTTCTTTCTCACAAACATTTCATCGAACATCTATGCTTCACCTAAGATGACTTATATCTAACATTATACCTTGAATCGTTGATGGTCCCGATAGTCATTTGGTCGGATCTTCTCTCAATGGACCTTTATTCAAGTCAATACCTTCACATAATTCAAAGTTAGATTAGAATTTCTCATGCATCCCCGACTGAAAAGTTACGCCGGAAATGAGAAGAGAGAAGTGAAAAAGGAAATTCGAGATCGAAAACGAATTTAGGGTTTAAAATAAAATTGATGATTATGTTGCAAATTTTAAAAGTTGGGGAACCTAAATGCAAGTGCCTGAAAAGTTCAGTGACCATATTGAAAATGTACTAACAACAGTGTAACGACATCAAACGGTCGATTACGTCGGAGACCATATTGCAAACAGACTAAATGTTGGAGGATTGTATTACAAGTTTTAAAAGTTGGGACCTAAATGAAAGCTATAGAAAAATTTAGTGACCATTATTATACTTTACCCTTAATATAAATTATAAAGAAACTCTTTATTTGCCCTGTAATGCACTACGTTTATTAGTTTGACTCTGAGTCATCTTCCATTTGACATTTCTTTAACACCCTGCATCTCCAATTTCCCCAAACTCAAGGAATCCAACACTTCACTACACATTAAGCATTCACCAGCTGTTCAGAAACTACCTTTTTTCTAGTTTTCAAAGTTGTGGATCAAATAACATTGTTTGTCATTCAGAATCCCGATGCATTGATTGAGTGGGATTTGCGGCAAACATTCAGCAGAGAAACTTAATCATTTATACTACTCGAAAACATGTTTAAGTCATGGAGGAGCGACAAGAAGAAGATCAAAGTTGTATTCCAATTGCAGTTTCAGGCAACTCAGGTATATGCATTAGACTCGTAGTGAAAGATTAAAGAGTTACGAGTTCTGGAAAGATCTAACCTGATTCAGCCGCTTTGTTTTATTCCAGGTGCCCAAGTTAAAAAAGTCGGGGGTGACGATAGCGTTGGTGCCGGAGGATTTGGGGAAGCCGACGCTGAGATTAGAGAAAGTTGCAGCTCAAGATGGGAGTTGTTTGTGGGAGAATCCTGTTTATGAAACTGTGAAAATGATAAGGGAGATGAAAACAGGGAAACTGAGTGAAAAAATTTACCATTTCGTTTTTTCGAATGTATGCATATTAGAAATTTGCTAAGCCTTTGTTCCTCCACTGCTTTCAGTTTCCACTGGTGACTGGTTTTTTCTGAATTTTTGTTCTGGGTTTGTTGTAGGGATCTTCAAAAGCAGGGTTCCTTGGTGAAGCTTCGATCGATTTTGCTGATTTTGCAGCTGAAACCGAACCTGTTACAGTCTCCCTGCCCCTTAAGTTTGCCAACTCCGGTGCCATTCTACATGTTAGTTTCTCTCTCATTGTCACCTCTAAAAAAACTTCTGTTGATTTCACAATCTAATATTGGCATCACTGTAACTTGTTTTTGAAATTCATGGTGATCCACAGGTGACAATTCATAAAATTGAGGGAGCAGAAGATCAGAGGTAATACAAGCATTAATAATCCATATCTCTAGTCATTCACTATTTCTATCTGCCTATATTTAATTCAACTTTTGATATCAGATATACTCAAGATGGTGGAGATTTGACCATTTCCAGGGAGGGAAGCCTGCACAGCCAAGGCATGAATTACAGTGACAATCTCCAAAATTCAACAGAGGTAAGTTCGAAGTCCCCGCTTGTATAGTTTAGCATGAATGATTTGGTTAAAGCAACCCTGAAATTACTACCTGGGCCAGATGACTGTTTTATGCAAGCTTACAACTAAATTGTTCTTAATTTTTACACAGGATGGGGACTTGGACACTGCCGAATTATTTTCATCTTTACGGAAAAACTCGATGCCCCAGAGAGCAGCTGATACTGGCATTAATAAAAAGAACATGCATCAGAGAACAAACACGGATTGGTCGGGCAGTTCAACTTCAGATGGAAGTTTAGCTGAGTTAGCTAATAGCCCTGAAGACATCACAAGAGAGTGGCACAAGGGATCAGGAGATCCTGTCGAGAAACTCAGAAGTGAAAATGCTATGTTAACGAGGCAGGTAGAAGTATCGGAATTAGAGGTGCAGTCTCTTAAGAAACAGATTTTGAAAGAGAACAATCGGACCCAGGATCTGTCGAGACAAATTAGCAGCCTCAAAGAAGAAAGAGATGCAGTGAAGATGGAGTTCGAACGACTCAAGTCAAAGAAAAACATGGATGAGGAAGAAAGTGACAGTGGATCGGAAGATGAGAATGAGGGGTCAAAGGTTCTGCTGAAAGAAATTAGGCAGGAGCTGGAGCACGAAAAGGAGTTGAATGCAAATCTCCGTTTGCAGCTGCAGAAGACAGAGGACTCGAATTCTAATCTGATTCTTGCAGTGAGAGACCTCAATGAAATGCTAGAGCAAAAGAACAGGGAAATAGCTAGCCTCTCCAGCGAGATCGAAGCAAGTACGAGTGTTGAAGAGGCACGCTCAAATGAACAACATGATGCTGATGAAATGCACATGCTGAAGCAGACAATCACAGATCTGAATGCAGAGTTGGAGTTTTACAAGAAACATAAGGAGGAATTAGAGATGCATATGGAAGAACTGAGCCAGGAAAATGACAAAATGTTATCACAGTTAAAGCAAAACCAGCAACAAGAAGCAATGAAGATAGAAAATGAGAACTCAGAATATTTGGCTACCATAAATGAACTTGAATCTCAAGTGCAAAGACTAGAGGATAAAATCAAGCAGCAATCTGAAGACTACTCGGAGTCTTTAATCGCCATTAATGAACTTGAAAGTCAAGTAAAAGAACTAAGCAAAGAACTAGAGAATCGGACACAAGGGTTCGAAAAAGAACTTGATGCGATGATACATTCCAAAAATGAGCAGGAACAGAGAGCTATCCGAGCAGAGGAGGCCTTAAAAACGACAAGATGGAAAAATGCTGCTAATGCCGAGCAGCTTCAGGAAGAATTTAAAAAACTCTCAGTTGAAATGGCTGGTAGGTTTGATGAGAATGAAAAGACGACCATGAAAGCAGTTGCAGAAGCGAATGACCTGGAGGTGCTAAAAATAAATCTCGAAGAAATGCTCCAGGAAGCCAATGAAGAGCTCAGGCTACTTAAAGATCAGACTGTGACCGAACGAGAAGACCTTACGTACCAGCTGGACCTCAAAGAAAAACAAATAGCAGAAATGTCAAGGGAACTTGATGATAAGACTGCACTACTTGAATATGCGCAAAAGCAAGAGAAGGAAAGGCAGGAGGCCTTTTCAAAAGAAATCCAAATTCTCAAGACTGAGATCGAGAAGCTCGAAGAGCAGAGAAGCCAATTTTCTGATCATGCAAAGCGCTGTGATGAAACCCAAAAAGTGAAGAAGTCAAATGAAAAAACTGAGATCCTGATACAAAGATGGAATAAAGAAAGAGATGAATTGGAGAAAAAAATCGCTTCAGCAAAGAAGGAAACAGAGAGGGCACAGAAGCAAATAATTAGTACAAGGTCTTTAAAGGATAAAAAGGAGATGGTCTCAAATTTGCAGTCAGAAATGGAGAATATTAGAGGGGAGTGTAATGACTTAAAACACAGATTGCTCCGAGAAGAAAGGGAGAAAGAAAAACTGAGAAAACAGGTATCTCAATTAAAGAATGACGTACAAAAGAAGGAAGAAGAAGTCAGCTCTATACAGAAAGAACTCAAAAGTACTGGTGGTCAAGTGGACATCACTGCAAGGAGCGGCTACTCTGCCGTGGCGCCTCAAGAGTCCAAAGATATCACTAGTTTGCAGAAAAAAATGAGGTTACTTAAGGTAGCTATTCTAATAGAAGGATTAGAGACTAAAAATAGTGTATATTATGCATGGAAAGATTATATATACGTCATATTTAACAAACATAAATAGTGGAAGAAAACTGCATTGGTATATAATATCCTTTATCTAACCATGAGATGTTTACATTCTATGTTTTCATCCCATCGGTACATCCTACACGATATAAAAACTTTTGCTATCATTCATCAATAGCAAAGATTGATAATTTTATAATCTTTGGCAGGAACAGATAAACCTCATGGAAGCTGCATTGAAATCATCAACTAATTCAGATCCAGTGAAGGGAAGTAATCTCAGCAACATGATGGAAGAGCTAGAAATCATCATGGAACAACTCAAAATATGCCATTGCTCTTCTGCAGATCAGTGTCAAAAGGTTTGTGGATTACAATTACGAAAATGCTTGAATAATATCGTTTTGTGATTTGTAATGCAACTTGACAGCGATATGTTAGTTTCATGCAACACAGTGATTTGTAATGCAACTTGACAGAAGTTGCTTTAATTCTAGACCTTCTCAATTGAAGTTTTGATGAAGGTTACTTACTGTTAATAAAGGTCACTTGTATCATATTTTTAATGAGACAGAAATTGCTTTAGTTCTGGACTGTTACTCCAGTCTCAAGATTAGCAATGTTGAAAAATACAGGAACAAGGAAAGTTCCGTGACAAGCTCCATTCAAAGATGACCAATGCTGAAGGCAAGCGTTCCTCAACAATAGTGGTACCAGTTGAAAGGTATGGGCATATCTTTTTGTCTTGAGAATTAAAGCTAATTATCAACCAATATCTTTACTGTAGATGGAGTTCTTTGACTGATCATTTATGTTTTCCTGCCTATGAAAACAACAGTGATGTTAATATTGCTGAATTGTTAAGTGAAATGGAAGGCCTTAAGGAAAGGAATAAGTCTATGGAGCGTGAGCTTAAAGACATGGAAGAAAGATATTCAGAAATAAGTCTCAAATTTGCAGAAGTGGAAGGTGAACGACAGCAACTTGTAATGACAGTGAGAAACCTTAAGAATGGCAAGAAGAACTAGCATGTTCAAAGGAGCAGTATGTTGGACGAAGAACACTAAGCAGGGTGAAGCAGCAGATCCTCTAAAAGGAACTACGTGTGGTAGTTAAATCGAAGTCCAATCAAGAAATCTTCATCATTTGAACTTGTGAAATAGCATTCATCCATTATTTGTTGCTCATCTATCCTGTTAGTAACACTAAAATATTAGATTCAACCAAGTTCATCGAAAGCTCAAGCAGTAAGTTTGGATATTGAGATTTTAAATTTTAGATACCTAGAGACACCTGATAGAAATATAGGAACTGAATTTTCTGCCGCCTCCATTTTTCTCAATAAATTAAAATCTTGACTTAATTTTGTGGAAACAGAAGAGAACCAAACGCATCAGTTTACCTCAGAGAACCTTCGCCGGGGTTTCCACTTGGAAACAGAGTATCCTTGAAATCTCTGATATCGACATCGATGAACTGAGGAATCGCTTCAGACAATTGGAGAGAGCGGCGTTGATCGGCAAATTCTCGGTTTGGAGCGGGAGGTTGACATTTAGGAACGGATCAAAGTGAAGAAGATCATCGACATTGAAGTTAGAAACATGAGGAGGCAAGTGAGGAGGTGGTAGGTTGGGGAAGCTTAGGGTTCCGGTGGTAGATTGAGAGGCGCTCAAGTAATCGACGTTGAGAAATCGAGTTCGCATATCCGGCGGTTTCTACCAGTTGGTTTGGGTTGAAGAGTGTGAAAGGTTTTGGAACGTGAAATTTGAATTGGCGCTTAAAATATAAATCGTTGGAATTTGCTTCAGCTTGCCACTTGCATGGATGGCGCGCACCGTTGCTTCGTCATTGTCCCATATCCTCCTTTTTCCCATTTCCCTCTATAAAACGAGAATACGGGAACTATGGGTTAAAATGATACATATTATGAGTTATTCGATATTAATTTGATTGAAATTTGATAAATATTTGATTCAAATAGATTCGAGTTCGAGTTCGAGTTCTTATCAAGTCAAAATGAACTATTTGATACTCGACTCGTAAAGTTCTTGAGCAGCTTGAAAATATAATATATTAAGATTTTATTTTTTTAAATAAATTATTAATAATATTAACATTTATGTGTTATTTTTTAAAAAAAATATATAGTATAAGGTTTTCATGTATTTAAGGTTCGAGTTTGAGTTTAAAGCTTCAATCGAGTTAAGTTTAAGATTTTTTTTCACTTCGAACCTTTTCGAGTTTTTATGAGCTTCAGTTCATGATTTCGAGTTAGACTTGAGCATGAAAATTTCTGACTTACGAGTTTTCGAATCAAGTTGAGCTTCATTTCATAATTTTCGAGTTGAATCGAGCACAACAATACTCAATCGTAGACTACTGGGCTGTAATCAGAGGTTTTCCTTAGGATATGGGCTCCGTTCAGGCCTAACTAGGGTCAGGTTATACAAAAACTAATAGGTTCACTAAACGTTTTTAAAGTACTCCAAATCCATAATGTTTAGTTTGTAATTCTCACTAGGGTGTAATTAGATTGAGCAGTTCGCAAACGGTTAAAGCTTCACTTCATTAAAATTTTATTAATATTTAATTTAAATTTATTTAACTCTAATAAAAAATCTTATCAAATCGACTTAAATAAAGTTCAATTCGATTCAATAAATTTATAGACAATTCATTATTTTTTTTTAAATTTTTTATGTATATTATACGAGTATAATTCTGCATCAATTAGTTATCTTAAAAGTATTTATGTAAAAAAAATGATAAACTACGCATTTAATACCTAAACTACAAGTTTTAGTTCATTTTAGTACTTAAACTTTTTATTTTTTTCAAAACCATACCTAACGTTTAGTTTTACTTTATTTTAGTACCCGTTTTTAAAAACTTAATAAATTTAGTACCTAAACTATCAGTTTTAGTCTGTTTTAGTATATAAATTTTCATCTTTTTTAAACTTAACGTTAATTTTTTGGCGGGATACTAAAATAAAATAGAAATTAAACTTTATGTATAATTTTGAAAAAAATTAAAAATTTAAATACTAAAATAGATCAAATTAATAATTTAAATACTAAACGTATAATTTACCTAAGATAGAAACACAAAACATTACTAACAAATCGAAAGTGAAGGTAGTTTACATTTCCTGCCGACATCTCCATGCCTAAAATTCAAAAATAGAACATTTAAGAAATCTTTTATAAACAAATGTCCACTAACTATTGATTGATGATTGGAATTTGGGTGTGACTCCGTGTACGCGTGTTCCCTTCGGCACCGGACACCTACTCCTCATGGGACCTTTAACTTTTAAGCAGTTCGTCGTTTTAACTTAAGCATTAATTCTTCTGATAAGATGATAACGAAATTATCCCAACCCGGGGATGATGCCACGTGCAAAAGGAAACGCCAATTACGTGGTTGGAAAGGGACTACTGTCGCTCGTGTTCGACGTGTGCCAATGTTACGGTGCCACCTCCATGCAAAGGTGGCGAAACCACGCGTTTTGGTTCTCTATAAAATCCGCACTTTCATCAAATCTACGATCAAACGGTTAATTTTATCTGCAAATCACTATTTCCCTGAAAAATGGAAACTCAATCGGCGCTTGACAGCAACATTAGGCACCAGCATGGTGAGTAAATTTTTTTAGGCTGAATTTCTCTGTTTGAAATTGCATTTTAACCTTTTGGGTCATTAATTTTCTTGCAGGAGAGGGGGGAGACGACCAGCACCAAGAGAAACATTCGGTTTTCACTAAGGTTAAGGCAAGGGCAAAAAAGATGAAGGATTCGATTAAAAATTATAGCCCTGGACATCACCATGATCAAGGTCATGATGAGTACCGTGAGGAACAGATACCTAATGATCACGATCTGGACGAGGAAGGCGACGATGGTGAAGAAGAAATTGTTCAAAATCCAGAAGTTCATGGAGCACCATGTATGTTTCCTAGCACTACATTTCATCATCCTTGGCGTGTTTGTCTGTTTTGTGTGCGTTTAACTTAACTGAAAGTCATCTGTCGCTCTTGGCAGTGAACGAGTCTGCCGCTGCCAAAAACGTCTTCTCCGGACAACCGGCAGACTTGAGCCGTCCTGGAATTACAAATGTCGAGACGTCAAAACCCTTGCCAACGGATCCACTGGCTTCAAGGGAGAGATCTGAAAACTCACACACTGGAAACTACGAGACAAAGCACAGTGATCCACCGAACAGCGCTGTTAGTGGCTTGGAGGCGCCACTAGTGGGAGAACAAGCGAGGGTCGACTTTGGGAAGACGACCGATACTGTTGAGGAACCTCTATCATCAAGTATGTTTCCTAGTATTACTTTCATAATCCTCGGCATGCTTTTCTGTTTTCTCTGTGCTAAAATTATCTATCGTTGTCGGCAGTGTACAAGTCTGCCGCTGCCAAAAATGTCGTAGCCGAACAACCAGAGAGCGGTGGAATAACCAATTTGGAGACGTCAAAAGCCTTTCCAACCGAGCCACTAGCATCACGGGAGAGTTCTGAAAACTATAACACTGGAGAAGGTTAAATCATTTTCTAGAAAGCAAATATATATAGTTTGTTGCTTATGCATCGACTCTATTAGTCATAGTCCACTCAATTTTGATAACATTGTACCAGGGGGAGAAGCAACAGGGATTGCTCCAATTCATCATTCAATGGATAAAATGAAAATCTGTGATGAGCATGACACGGGAAGAGAGCAACACTTACCTTCTGCAACTCAACCTAAATCATCCGAGTCACCCTTCCCGACCGGAACCCATGACCAATTCTCACCTGAGCCAGCTCGACCATTACGCACCGTTCCAACTCCGACGAGCATACACATAACGTTGTCAAACCGTCAAACTGGAGCAGTTACACAGAGGAAAATTCATCTGCAACCTCTGCTGCTGTAGATAAAGCCGTGCCGGCCAAGAACATTGTTGCTTCAAAGCTCGGGTACGGTGAAAAAGTTCAGGCTCAATCTCAGAGTCTGAATGAATCAAGTGAAGGTCAAAATACAACCAAGCAAGAATCGGCAATGGATTATGGAAAGACGGATAAACCAAGTCCAGTTTACGAGGAAGCTGCCGGAGCGGGAACCACCGTCATGTCGAAGGTACACGGTCCTGGCTCTGGAACTGCAACCGAAGTGGAAACAGAGCAGGGTCAAAATACAACCAAGCAAGAATCGGCAATGGATTATGGAAAGGCGGATAAACCAAGTCCAGTTTACGAGGAAGCTGCCGGAGCGGGAACAACCGTCATGTCGAAGGTACACGGTCCTGGCTCTGGAACTGCAACCGAAGTGGAAACAGAGCAGGTTCAAAATCAGGATAAAGGGACGTCTGTAAAGGGTTATATTGCGGAGAAATTTAAGCCCGGCGATGAGGATAGAGCACTATCAGAACTGATTTCGGAGGCTCTGCAAAAGCGAAACAAGGATTCTCCCGAGGCCGAAAAGGAAACAAGGGCAAGGGTTAAGGTGACCGAGTCGGAGGAGGTAGCGACCCCGGAAAAGACCGGCGCAGAGTCGATGAATAGTCCGACTCAGAGCGTAGTGGATAAGCTCAAAGGTGCTGTTGGTTCATGGTTTGGTAAAGGTGAAGGGCCCCAAATAACTCAACAGACACAAAGTTTAGGTAACTATCTACATCTACATATTTCCCGTGGATTAAGTTTCTTTCTTGCTTGTTGATTTGTTTCCTCTTTACCGTATCAGATACTACTGGTTCTTCAGCTTCTGCCGACGGTCGAACTCTTCAAGAGTCGGACAATTGATTTAATAAGAAGTTATACAAGGCCTGCAATAATGGAGAGATTATAATGCTTTTGTAATAAAAATGCATCAAGTTTTCTTTTTTGAATGTGTGTAGCCATGGCTTATGGCCTCTATTAGATATGTGTATTTGCTTCCAGTGTGGGATGTATACTTCGATTGATAAATTTACCAGCATAAATGTATTTCTTCATCCAATTTGTCATGATCTTTTGATGTTACAGTTATAGTGTTGCAACAAGAAATAGGGGTCCTACCGACTTCTTGTTTTAGGTTAGGAACCTTTCGAATATATCATTAATATGACGAAGTTCAGCAAAATATTGGAAACTCAATTTCAAAGAGAGTGAGAGTAAGAGAGTAACATACATTTTTAAGGTTAATTGTTTAGATGTGTTTTATTTATATTTCTTTTGTCATAAATTATTTATTAATTTAAGTAAGCACA